GGGGAGGGTGCGGGGGCTCCCGCTCGCTGTGACAGCGCCCGCGGGGCTGGACTGCGCGAGACGCTGGCCCGGCTCCCGCACGGTGACTGCAGCTGTTCTGTGACTCGAGGAACTGCCCGGCTCCTCGCCGCCCACGGAGGAGGATTTTGGGAAGGGCCCCTGGCTTGCCATGAAGACGGAGCTGGGGCTGGACGAGAGGGACCCCAGCTGCTTCCTCAGGACCTACAGCGTGGTCATGGTGCTGCGGAAGGTAAGAGGGGCCCTGGGCGAAGGGGACCCCAGCTCTCTGTTTTTTTCCCTTGGAGCTGTTTTAGGGCCAGGCCTCTGGAAACACGGGCAGCACGTTGCAGAGGGCCGGGATGGGGTTGACCGTAGACATCCCGCGGCCGGTGATGCCTCACCCGGGTTGTCCTCAGGGATGTTGTTGGTTTGATGGGGATCTGTGTGTACAGGCAGCCTTGAAGCAGCTCCCAAAGAACAAGGTGCCCAGCATGGCCGTACTGATCAAGACACTGACCAGGACCAACGTCGATGCCGGTGCCGTGTTCAAGGACCCAACCGGTAGGGGCCTTTTGGGGGCGACGAGGGGGAGCTCTTGCTCTGGCATTTTGGAGCCTGTGCGCTCTCCCCTTGCTAAGGGGAGAGAAGCACTTTTGCAATAAGAAGCAGAAACAGCCCTCAGGGCTCAGCACCACCCTCTAATCTCACCTCCTTGCCTCCCTCCTGGGTGCCAGGGGCGATGTCTGGAGACGCGATGCTCCCGGCTGGTAGCTCGCCATCCCGTGGGATGTTGTATCCCTGCGTCTGTGCTGGTGCCTAGCTCAGGCTGCGGGTTGGGGCTCTGCAGCTCACAGCGATCTCGCTCCCTGTGGCTAACGGGTCCCTTCTGCCTTCGTCCGCAGGAGAGATGCAGGGCACGGTGCATCGCCTGTTGCTGGAAGAGAGGCAGAGCGAACTGAAGCCCGGCTCGGTGCTGCTCTTGAAGCAGGTATGAGGTGCGGAGGCCTGCGGGAGGCAGGTCCCCTGGCAGCAGCGATGCTCTCCGGGCTACGTTTCTGCCACTGTGCCCAGCAGCCAGGCTTGGACCCTGGGGGAGAAGAGGACGAGGGCCGCCTTCTCCTCCCTAGGCTGCTGCCAGGGACACCAGTGAAAGCTCAGAGTTGACTCCAAACCATCGCTGTGTCCCCGCAGGTGGGTGTCTTCTCCCCATCCCACCGCAACCACTACCTCAATGTGACACCCAACAACCTGCTCAAGATCTACCCACCAGAGACCGAGGGCAGCTTCTCGCAGCCATCACCAGAACAGCGAACGGTGAGGGAGGCTGCGACGCCAGCAGCCTTGGCAGTATGGGTGTACGGGGACCTAGTGGGGGCACCTACAGTGCAGTCTGGGCAGTGGGGACCCTAGACAGGGATGGGAGGAAGGGGAAAGCTTGGGAGGGACAGATAAATCCTGCTGTGGTCCCACCTGCAAGTGGGAAGGCCCCCAATTCTGCTCTGCTGGGTTTTTGCAGGTCACTGCCCAGGCTGGGTTACACCAGGACCATCCAGCACAGATCTCCTGGGGTGTCCCTGCCCCTGGGGATTGGGGACGATCCAGGACAGGAAACCACAGCACAGAGCAGTCGCCTGGAGGCTTTTCGCTGCACCCAGAGAGCTACAGGCCTGGGCAAGAAGAGCCTCTGAGAGCCGACAGCTGCGACATGGGTGAGTTGGACCTTCTCTGGGTGCAGGGAAGAGCTGAGGATCCTGCAGTGTGGGCAGAAAGCGGGTCCTGGGGCTTGGATGGTCTCTGCCCTCCCTTCTAAAGCCAAAGGTGGGGCTCCCCTCAAGGCATACCCAGTGCATGGGGTCGATCCCTCCTCTCTGCATAAGTGATGACTGATGCACGCGTTTCATGCTCCCCCGTGCAGATGACCTGGATGGGCTTCTGGGAGAGCTGCCTGAGGACTTCTTCTCTGCTCCAGCCCAAGCTGATGCCTGCTGACCAGGGGGAGCTGCGGCATGGGGAGGGCCCGCGGCAGCAGGGCCCAGAGGAGATGGTCACCGTTGGTAAGGTCTGGACTGAACTGCGGCCGAGCGAGGCCTCTGAGCCAGCAGGCGATGCTCAGGGATTAACTGGCCTCCTGTCTCAGGCCTCAGGCCTCCTGTCTGCGTTCTCGTTTCTCTGTACGTCTGTGTGTTGTGTTCGTTCTGGAGCTGAGAGGTGGGGAGTCCTGGACAGTCCCGGGGAGTCCTACGTGGACACAGCTTCATCGCCACCAATCGCTTGTCCCCACGTTCGTCCCCGGGCAGGCCAGCCCCTCTCTGCTCCCAAACCTGCATTAAAGGGCTATTTCTGTTCCTGAATTGCCCAGGTTTTCTCTTGTGTTGCTGCCCGGCCACCAGGAGCAGTGACACGCGTTTGTCCCCAGCATGTGGGGGATTTTTCTCTGCTGATCTGTGGTGTCTCAAACCCTTTCCACGTGGGGGTCCCTGTGGGTGCATTTCGGCAGGGCTGGGGGAGGCAGAGCCCAGCCACAGCTGCCTGCCCCCAGCAGCCCCTGTGCGAGGTGCAGTCGTATCCCCACAGCTCTTGCACCTGCCTGGCCTCAATTCAAGTCCGTGGGCACCATCTCTGCTACTCCAAGGCACGGTGCAGGGACCCGGTGCTGCTCCCACAGGGCTTGCAGGTCACCTGGGAGCCCAAATGCCTCTGCCCTGGGGCTGACGCTGTGGGGCACTAGGGGTGGGAGCCACGAGGGCCCGGTCGGGGGCCCAGCCTGCCCCTGGGTTGCAGTGGTCCCTGGTGCAGGATGAGCACAGGACCCCGAGCCAGTTTGAAGGCGGGGGCACAAGGAAACGCCAGCCCTCCTGAGCCCTGCCTGGCAGCAGGGGCTCAGCCGCAGTTCACTTTGTCCCCTAGTTCTGCCCCAAGTGAGATTTGGGGATCACACAGATCCCAGACCAGTCCTGCAGGGTCCCACCCCCATGAGACCGTCCCCATTTTGCACCCACCAACAGGTTAAAGTCCCTGGCAGCCCCGAGCCAACGTGACCCTGTTTACCACAACGGGGAGTTATTTATAGGGTGGCCCGGCTTGCGCTCTTGATTC